ACGTGGTTGTTAATTGAATCCAGCTTGTTCCATTCGTTTTGCTTGTAAGAAGCTGGCTGGGAATGTCGCAAATGCTAATCACGTGACCCTGGGATGTTGCACAGAGTTGTAAATACATCAATTCATCTTTGTATGCCAGGGACCCAGTCAGTATATCAATGTTCCAGCAGGCTAAGGGGGATCACTTTATTTCCCTGGAACTAAAAAATAGTGGTTTGCATCTGTCCTAATTCATTTCCTTAATTCTTGCTAAGAGTTGCACTTCCTTAACGAGGGAGTTCCATCAAGTAATTAGGCAAAAGAGCCTAAAAGAGCAACAAAGATGATTAGGGGGCTGGAGGCTAAAACATATAAGGAACGGTTGCTGGAATTGGTTATGTCTAGTTTAATGAAGAGATGGACGAGGGGAAACATGATAGCAGTGTTCCAATATCTCAGGGGCTGCCCCAAAGAAGAGGGAGTCAAGCTATTCTCCAAGGCGCCTGAAGGTAGGACGAGAAGCAACGGGTGGAAACTAATCAAGGAGAGAAGCAACCTAGAACTAAGGAGAAACTTCCTGACAGTTAGAACAATTAACCAGTGGAACAACCTGCCTCCAGAAGTAGTGAATGCTCCAACACTGGAAGTTTTTAAGAAGAGACTGGACAGCCATTTGTCTGAAATGGTATAGGGCAGGGGTAGACAACCTTGGCTCTTTTATGACTCGTGGACTTCAACTCCCAGAATTCCTGAGCCAGCCACGCTGAGGGGAAAGGGAGAGGTTTCCAAGCTGAGCCATGCTGGCTCAGGAATTCTGGGAGTTGAAGTCCACGAGTCATAAAAGAGCCATGGTTATCTACCCCTGGTATAGGGTTTCCTGCCTGAGCAGGGGGTTGGACTAGATGACCTCCAAGGTCCCTTCCAATTTTTTTTTTTTTATTATTATTATTATTATTATTATTATTATTATTATTATTATTATTATATTAACATTTTCTTTTTTTCTCCTTTTAACCATAACTATCATCGGCTTGTAAGAAATAAACCATTAGATCAATTAAAGAATATCAGATATAACATTTCCGATGGCATGTTTTTATAACAATAGCTTCATTGCACCTTATATGTTGCATATGATTATTGTTGTTTAGATTACTCTGGCTAATGATTCAACTTTGTCAAAATGGCTAGAATGTAGTATTTCCGCAAAGACACGCCAAGGGATGCCGTTGATGGAGAAGAGTGGAGAATTTCATCTGAGCGTTGTGGCGTATGGTGAGACATGTAAAATCCCAACCACCAAGGCAGATTTTACACGCCACGGTCAAGATCGTCTTTGCGTCCATGCAAAGAACATGTAAGTTGCATTGACATGTAGGAACAATAGGTTTCGACCATCTTTATATGGGTGTATTTTCAAATACTTATAACATTGATTTAAAACTTTAGAAGACAATCTATATACTCAATCTATATCAATATAGTGGTGGGATTCAGCCAGTTCGCACCACTTCGGCAGAACAGGTAGCTAATTTTTTATTGCAAGCCCGGAATGGACTTCCGGAAGTAGCATCCACACAGAGAACCGGTTGTTCACATATTTGAATCCCACTACTGATCAATATATACTGTTGAGTCGGTCTGGAAAATGTTAAAATTATAATGCCATATTTTAAAAGATGTCAGTTTTTTTAACAGTATTTGCTTTGGGGCTTTCAGTATTTGTTCTGGAGGATGGTATGCCAGACATGTCTCCATCACCTTCGC